AACCCTCGAGATTGGGTATGACTGGCTGTTGACGGCTAATAAGCCAGAAATGACCATTCCGGTCTCCCTTCGCTTTGTCGGATCCACTTCAAGTTTCAAAAGTATTTGGCATACTAGAAACTTTTTTAAAAAAAAGATACCTATCTTTAAGTAATAAATTTAAGAAAGTCTAATTTGCTACCAAACTAGTACAAAAAGATTAATTTTGTGACTGTTTTCTATAAAATATATTTCAATTTATAAGGAGAGTGAACATCTATGAGCTATATGCATACTTCTTAAGTAGCCACCTTTTTCCGAATATAATTTTTGTAAGCGGTCAACGTGAAACTCCTTAAAAGTCCGGCGTCCTGACGTAATGGAAATCACTTGAGATTAGGCTACAAGATAAACGGTATTAAAACCCTTGGAAATGCCGGTTTACGAGTGATTAGCAATCTTTCCAAAATGTCGGCATTTTGCATGAAATATTGTTCGTAAAGTTTGTTCATATACAATCACATTCTGTTCATCGAGTTAACATATCTGTGGATGACTGCGTAAACAACGTTCAAAGAAACCGTTGAAATTTTTCAAATAAAAGTAAGAGGTTTGTAAATTTCCAATCAAGTTTCCGGGATAGGGTCCGAAAGATCCTTTGTTATATCAATTCAACAGAAGCTTGCGTTTTCTTCACGTTTTGTAATCGGAAGAAATAAGCCTTTCGGTTTAAGGAATTTGGTTGTGAGATGAATTTATTAACCCACCTGACGTTTCAAAATGTATAATATATAACTGCTATTTGGCTGAGGGTAAACAGCTTTGTCTAGTAGCAAACAGTCTCAGCATAAACTTGGATATCTCCAAATTGTTCTTCCGAAAATACGCTGCCCGTTTGATGCGGTTCTTCGTATTTAACGATATTTTCGAATCGCACGAATAAACGGAGGAGAGAAGATCATCACTTGTCGTAAAAAAAATACGCGAATTCGACCTTTAGAAAATGGCCTACATTTAGAGGATGGGAAAAAGCAATAGCCCGGTTTAAAAAGTACTTTTGTACTGATAACATTCATCGCATACCGGCCTTCTAAAATCCCATCTGAAACAACATAGATCTGGAAAATGTTATTCGGCTTCTTTCACAAACAAATACTTACCCACTGCACTTGTGCATCTAGTTGACTCCGAAAGCAATATGTCTAGAGAAGACAGCAGACTGTCTGGCAAGGATAGATCACTAATTACTCGCTAAACGATTTAAAATTCCTTCAGTAAATCCTGATAGTCTGAACGTCGATTCCGACAATGTCTACGGTGTGCGCCACAGCTTTGTGGTGCAGGAACGGTGACTTAGATGTAAAACTGTCATAAGGACTATAGGCAGCTGGTGATCGAGTCTTCACTTAGGCGTGCCGCCATCGCGCAATGAAAGCTCACAGAGTCTGGGTATCCGTGTCGCACACTCCCTCATACACCACCTGGTCACAACCTACACTCAAGCAAGATTTTAGGACATCAAGAGGATAGGTGGGGGGTGACAACTCGGACCCCAACTCCCATAACCTGGGCCTCCATATCAGTTCGCATCGTAACTCACTGGGAAAACTCTGCTGCTTCACTCACAACTATATAGGAAGTCAGGCAAACGAATGACGCTGTACCTCCTTCGATAGTTTGCCTTAGCGGCACTTATAAATGCCGCAATCTTACTTAAATCCTCTCGATGTTAAAATATCATTTTGTTGCCCATGTCCTAAATATGGTAACATAACTGAGTGAGGCAAACGCAATTGTCTACAGAATGTGCATTTTCAAAAATGGTCCATTAATCTTCTGATCGATGTATTGCGTGGTTGACATCTTTTCATGCTTACTCGCTGACCGATTTAAAATTCCTTCAGTAAATCTTGACAATCCAACAAGGCCCATCGTGTGCGCCACAGCTTTTTGGTGCAGGGACAGCGACTTATGTGTGAAAGTGTCGTAAGGGCCACGGGGTGGCTGATGCCTGAGCCTACACATAGGCGTGCCACCAACGCACAATGGAAACGGTGGC